TGACGTGCGCTTGCGTCGCGTGCAGACGCGGAGCTCTGAGCTCTGTATCAGGGGCAATTTTGTACGCATTTGCCTCGAATTTTTGCTACTGTCACTGTGGAAACGGTTTGATAAAGAGTTTGTGTTCCTGAATTGGGAGAATCGTGAATTATTCTAAACATATAAAGTGGTTTTTTACCGCAAAACGTTCTGGTGAGTGGATATTTTGGAAATTTAAGTTACGAGAGCACATATAAGAATCGGTTGATTCTCGCGCAAGCTAACGAACGGTGTACGCCATAAACGATCATCACACGCTAACGCACGCGCTATAACGGTTGTTAGATACATCAGAACAATTTGGAGCCAATTTAGAACTTATTAGAATCAAATCGTATTATAAATGGGCAAGACACATCTGAAAACACGACAAAACAAGTTTAATGGATGGCCCTTCTTACTCGTTATAACTCTCTGGTTATCAATACGTCTGAAACCTATAATAATCCATCTCCATATCAAAACTACTCCTCAAAACATCTGTATTTCCTCTCAACTTACAAGCCTACCGGACAGATTATGTTTTCTTTGGACTTCTACTCGTGATAACAAGTTGCGGAGATCAAACCATGCTATCAATCTCCGCTATGGCCTACAATTCCAAATTAAGCAAAAGGCATTACATGTTGTCCTTCTCATCCTACTCGCTGGCGATATTGCCACCAATCCTGGACCCCAAACCACAACTCAGCGTTGGCTATCATTTAATGCACAAAGTCTTCAAAGCTTCAACAGAAGAGAAGATGGAACATTCTCAAGTAATCTAAGATCGTTTCAAGACCTTGTTTACTCGGAAAATCTCGATGTAATATCAGTCACTGAAACATGGCTTAATGACAGTGTGAGTGATCATGAAATATTACCTTGCTCTGAATACAACATCATCAGAAAAGATCGGCCATCCAACAAACGTGGTGGCGGTGTACTATTAGCTTTACGTGAAGGAATAGAGTACAATAGAGTTACCTCGGGGACTTGGTCTGACCAGTTAGAAATTGTAGCTGTCGAAATTGTCACTCGAGAACAAAAGAAGTGTATTCTGTGTGTTTGCTATAGACCACCGAACTGTGATCATGAAGAATGGCGTATCCTGTTTGAATCATTCTTACAAGACGCTGAGAAATACGAAAAGATTATAATAACGGGAGACTTCAATTTTCCTGAATTAAATTGGAACTATAACACTACCTCCAGCCAAAATGTTTCAGCGAATTCTATAAAGTTCCGAGATCTCGTAAATGACTTTTTCCTTGAACAAACTAACCCATTTCCGACGCGAAAAAGAAACATCCTTGACTTGATCCTGACCAACACTCCTGAGACCGTTACTGGTATATCGTGTATATCGCCAAAGGCTATGGACGTTTTCAGCGACCATAATCTTCTGTTTTTTGAATATAACGTATGTGCCAAGTTATCGTCCTGCGTCACGCGAACGGTTCTAGATTACAGTTCTGCAGACTGGAAGGGTCTATTCAAAACGCTATCATCAATTGACCTTTCCTCGTCAATAGTCTTAGATAAATATAATAGTGACAGTTCCGGAAAACTCCCTAACAACTCCGACAACCTAGAAAATAATTCGAGCGACATTGACGATGATTGGCAACGTTGGTGTGATCGTTATATGAATGCTGTGTATCGTCACATTCCTACCAAAGTCATCAAGAAACGCAAATCTCCACCTTGGTTTGACAGTGACGTTCGACATCTACTGAAGAAAAGGAAACAGCTAGACGAAGAGCGAAAAGAACATCTAACACCTAACACTGGGAATCCTTCCGTGAACTTCGCCGTTGCTGTAAATCCCTACTTTTACAAAAACGTAAAAAATTCTTCCAGAACTTACCCAACTTAACGAGATCTAACCCGAAGAAATTTTGGTCGCTGTTTAAATCCGTGTCAAAAACGTCCACTGTGCCAAGCAAAATGACCTGGAAACGAAGTGAAGAGACTATAACAGCTGAAAACCCAGAGGACATTGCAAACCTTTTAAACAACTACTTCCATTCCATGTTTAATCCTCCCCTTTCCCAGGACGAGTATAATAATCATCCAACTCTGATCACCTCATCCTGTGAACCAATTACAGATATCCACATTTCCTCTGATGCTGTCAGACGTGTTCTCCTCTCGCTTGATGTCAGCAAAGCCACAGGCCCAGATAAAATCCCTGCAAGGTTACTCAAATACAGCGCACCCTATATCTCGTCATCGCTAGTGATCTATTTAATAAGAGCTTACATGCAGGAAGAATACCAGCGGAATGGAAGATATCAAATGTAACACCTATTCCTAAAAGTGGTCAAAAGCATGAAGTCTCAAATTATCGGCCAATCTCTCTGCTTTCCATTGTATCGAAAGTCTTAGAGCGTTGTATCTACGATCAACTAATTAACCATCTATCCTGCCAACTGCATAATCTCCAGTTTGGTTTTCTCAAGGGAAAGTCTACAACATCACAGTTACTTCAAGTTCTTCATGAGATTGGCAAATCGCTAGATAAAAGAGTTCAAACAGACATTCTATACCTAGACTTTGCTAAAGCATTCGACAGAGTCGATCATAAACTACTCATCAAGAAATTACAAAGCGTTGGGGTTGGTGGTAACTTACTGGCCTGGTTTGAAAACTATCTCACTGACCGCTATCAGCAAGTTACAGTTCTAGGCAAAACATCTCAACCAATACCAGTGCTGTCAGGTGTTCCTCAGGGTTCAATCCTTGGTCCATTATTATTCCATGTTTATGTGAACGATCTACCACAAAAGGCGACTTCATCGTCGGTAGCGCTATTTGCTGATGATACCAAGTGTTATCGTGCAATACAAACAACAGAGGACGTTAACAATCTTCAAAGTGATCTAGACGAAATCAACCAGTGGTGCCAGACGTGGCGTATGAGCCTCAACCAGTCTAAGTGCGGTGTTCTCACTGTGACAAGAAATCGAAAGCTAGTTCCATCAAGCTACAACCTGACAAATCACGATCCTACAATCACATCAATGATCAAAAACCGAACTGTGCAAAAGGACCTCGGGGTTTTTAACCTCAGATCTCAAATGGAACCACCAAGTATCAGCTGTATGTACGAAAGCTAACAGAATGCTGGGGTTTGTAAGAAGATCTTCTAACAACCTGAGTGATCCTCGTATCCGCTGCACACTATATAAGACCTTGGTACGAAGTCAATTTGCATACAGCTCGCAAGTCTGGTCACCACAGTCTGTTTCTCTTATCCTTGAAATGGAAAAGGTTCAAAGACGTGCAACAAGAGTCATCTTGTCGTTGCCGTTTGGATCCAAAACAAGCTACAAAAACCGGCTGCTAAAAACAGGGCTACTCCCTTTGAGCTACTGGCATGAGTACCTGGACCTAATTCACTTCTTTAAAGAAATGAGACACAGTCAAAACATAGATGTTAAATTAAGTAATCGTGTCACAAGGAGCGAGACATTGAATAGCGTTAGTATAAACATACCAAGAGTAAACACCTTAACATATCAAAATAGCTATTACAACAGAACTCCTAGAATCTTCAACAGTCTACCGCCACATATACGTAGATCAGATGTTACCATTGGACAATTTAAGTCATACTTATTGGATTATTATAATAAGATGACTGAACTGGTATATAACATTGATGTTCCGCAATCTTTTAAAACTATCTGTGTTAAATGTCATTCATGTCGTCCGTTATGTAAACTTGTTGATAAAATGTGCTGTAGAGGTTGATTCGCTGACCTCAGAATATTTCTAATGAGCTTCTCAGCCTTCACTGTTCAAATTGGTAATATTCTTGAAACATATTACTATATTAGGAAACTAATACAATTTGTTCAATGTCTGGTTGTTTCTATGAGGGCAGCGAAATAACCATTATCTTGTAAATGTTGTTTGTGCATGCATAATGTAATTTTAGGTACCAATAAGCTCTGTAGGGATCACTGGTCAGAATTGACAAAGCATGTAAATAAAAAAATAAATAAAAATTGATAAAAAATGAACCCTGCCAGCTTGATGGTTTAACTTCTTAATCCTGGGCGAAGTGCGAAATAGCGTGACGGATGTGACACAGTTTGTTGTACAAGTAGAATATTTTCTTCGCAGACAAAGGCGATATTGTCACGATAAACGCCGACACTCACCCGACGCGATCCGCCAACGCCACGAGAATTTTACGATTTTAATCTCACGAAGTGGCGAGCAGGGCCGAAACTCGGCGAAACTAGAACGATAATTGGGGGTGCTTGTTCGTATATATTCAGTTCTGCCCGACAGATTTATTTTGTACCTGCATGCAATAGCTTGCAATTAAAATTCGTCCGGCAGAACTAAATATACGAATAAACACCCTCGATGATCGTTCTAGCTCGGCCCTGCTCGCCATTTCGTGAAAATCGTAAAATTCCAACCCAAGCAAACAATTACCTGAACTAGCTGGAACTAAGCTTAATATATTATGGCTACGCAAGGGTTTATTATGATCAGGATATGCATGCATACTGTATTAACATAATTGTAAAATTAGGAGATATCACCTTCCATGCGTGGATGAGTATTTGATTTTTGCCACTGGAACATATGAGTAAATATAATTTTTGGCTTTTCGCAAATATCAAAGACTTTTCCTTCCAAGCTAGACAGTTTCGGTGAATAATTAATGCAGTAATCTTAGTGTCAATCATTTTGTCCATCTGTCGTAAACATGTAAACCTCCTCTGCAGGCCGTCTTCGGGCAAATATGGCGGGTAAAAGTTTGCGTATCTTTATAGCCCGAGCGAAGTTAAATAGGTGCTTTAGGCAACTGCAAGCTCTTATGTCAATCAATTGTGTTTTATATTCCTCGAGGTCGAGCATTTTAGCAATACGTCGAGAAGGCTTAATTCGATTAAAATAGTACTATATGTAGTTAAGTCGTGAAGTGAGGTTCACAGAGGACATGTTTGAAAATTTTATATTTGTTGATAAAAATTTATTTAAGTTATCAACGTCTTAAGTATTGATCGATTGAGCAAAAGACTGTACGACAACGTCTTAAAAAAACAAAATATAAGAGCTGGCGCGAGCTTCTAACGCCAACCTACATTTCTTGCTTACAACGCTGATTGGTTGGATAAGGATCAGCCCACTCTGGTTGATGGTGTGTCCCTCAACCTTCACTTTAAAAAGAAGTGCACAACACCAGAATCTTCAGAGTGGACCAGAATCGGAGTGGACCAACGGAGTAAAAGACATATGAAACGTCGAGGAAGCTTAATAAAACAAAACAGACAGAGAAAACACGAGAGTCACTTTAAATTAGATTAGTTTAATTTTCCTCCCACACATTTAATCCCACAGGGCAATATAAGTCATTAACTTTTCAATTTTCAAAAATTTCCGTCATTTCAATCAGTCAAATTTTTACAAGCAGGTCTAAATTTCCCGCATCACACCATAGGGAATTCCTATTGGCAGACTTAAGGTCACGTGTTACTTTAAATACCATATATGGTATTCCCAGTGGTAACATTACCGTGAGAGAATAGAATGGCTCCCAGGCCTTTTGCAAATACTCCAATTTTTCGGCGAATATCGATTGAAAACATACTGGGAAATAAACTAAGTATTAAAAGGCAGTAAGGCACAAGGCGAAATAATGTGTTTTTAGTATATACAAATGGCCGAGTCAACTGAATTTCGCTGCGATTACTGTAATTTTGTATGTTGCAGCGGACAAAGTAAGCTTTTTTTTGATCACTTGGTTAGAATACACTCAAACGAGCCGAATTTCAAGATATTTTGTAACAGCTGTCCACGGTCGTTTACAAAGATAAACAGTCTCCAAAAACATTATTACAGACAGCATAAGGCTTTAACAGTGGAAGAAGACTTAAATGATGGGGAAAATGAGAACCATTTTCAGGAGATGTTTGACGAGGGAGAAGCACGAAGTCTAATGCAACGCCATGCTGCCAAATTCCTTTTATGTTCCAAAACAAGAGGTATGCTCACCCAGAGTGCCGTGGACTTGGTCAAAGATTCAGCGAAAAATCTACTAACTGAGTATTTGGACATAGTCAAAAAATCGCTTGCCGAAAAGATAAACAGTAATCCTGGTCAAGAATTGCAATTTGACCAAGATGTGGAAAAGTTATTTTCAGCAGAGAGTGTCTTCGACGGAGTTGATTCAGAATACCAACAAAGATCATATTTTAAGCGTCATTTCAATTTGGTGGTAAGTTACCAACCTACCAAACCTGAACCAGCTGCCAGCTTTGTCAGCTTGCTTTATATTTTTTAACTGATTTGCAGGAACCAATAGAAGTTGAGATGGGAAAACAGTGGAGAAGTGATTTTCGACAAGGGAGAAAAATACTTAAACGTGTCACAGTTTTTGGTTATCAAGTTCCATTATTAAAGACTTTGGAGGTATAAATATGTTTTATATGAAAGACTAGCAAATAATTGATGTCACTATTCTGGTGCTAAATGCCATTACTTTGGCTTTTCAAGATTCAAATCACTGGATGCATCCATTTGTTGCTAATATTTTTTTCAAACATTTTTTTGATCATATATTTTAGGCACTTCTTCAAAACCCAGATGTTTTAAAGGAAGTTGAAAATCCACATTTTTCATGTGATGGTGTTCTTCGAGATGTAATGGATGGGGATTTTTTCAAGAGTCATCCAGTATTCTCCCTCCACAGTGATGCCCTGCAGCTGTTGGGCTATTATGATGATCTAGAAATAGCCAATCCTTTAGGTTCAAAAGCAAAGATTCATAAAATTGGTGTGTATGTTATGTGTCTTTATATTATGTCTATGAATCTATGAACAGCTTATTTCATAAGCATGTTAGCTGCCCAATCACATATAAAATTTGTTTTTAGGTGTCTTTTACTTTGTGCTGGGCAATATAAGGCCAATGTTTAGATCAAGCATCCGCAGTATACAACTTATAGCTATTGCTAAAACAAAAGACATCAAGTCATTTGGGATCGATAATCTTTTGATGCCATTCATTGAGGATGTCAATTGTTTGGCGAAGGTATTTTTACTTTATGCATTACAGTATTGTATGTATATAAGAAAAAAAAAAGACAAAATTCCTCTAGTATGCAAATTTGTCCAACATTATAGCTTCCTATATTTTAGGCTAATGGTCACTGTTTTACCATAAATGGTGTTGCCCGTGTGTTTCGAGGTGATCTGTTATTGTGGACTGGAGATACACTTGGTAGCAACTATGTCAGTGGTTTCAAGGAAGGTGTTGGAGGAGCATTGCGAATTTGTAGGCATTGTATGGGAACAAGACTGGAGACCAACAATAAGGTAAATATGCTATAATTTGAAGAAATAGCTTTTTTCCCTGACTGTAATTTGGGAGATATTTTGCTGAGCAATAAGGGCATTTTTACAATTTACACAATGTGCATTTGGATTGCCTTTCTGTTTTAGTTTTTATCTGAAGACTTTTCAGAAAGAGATTTGGATAATCACAGACAAATATGTGCATGTATTGAAGATGAAGATAATGCATTAAACATCCGTGAACAACTTTCCACAACCTATGGGGTAAACAGATTAAGTGTGTTGGATAAGGTGCAACATTTTGATGTTTGCATTTGCATGCCTGAAGATATAATGCATATATTGTTGGAAGGCTTGGTACCCTATGAAACAAAGTTGATGCTGAAGTATCTGATTGATGAAGCAGATGTATCACACTCAAAGAAAGAGTTAAATCGGAGGATTGAAAACTTTGATTATGGATACATGAACAAAAAGAATAAGCTAACTGCAATTACCAGGGAAACAATCAATGGTGTCACTGAAGCTAAGCTTAAACAATCAGGTACATATACTTTTAAAACCCTTTCTTTCACTGCAGTCATTGGGAAAGTATTAACTAATTTATATGTCTTGCTTTATGCAGCCTAATTGTCTTGAACTACCAAATGTAGACTATGTAATGCTATTTTAACCTGAGTCTTTTTGTTGCAGCATCTCAAATGTGGTGTTTATTCAGGTTCTTGCCAATCATGATTGGTGATAAAGTGGATGAGCAACTGGAAAACTGGCATTGTTTGCTGAAACTTTGGAATATTGTTCAAATTTGTACTTCTCCAGGAATAACAAAGGCTGATGCTGCCTATTTGAAAGTTATGATTAATGATCATCACAAAATGTTCAAAAATCTCTACCCTAATGCATCCATAATTCCAAAAATGCATTATCTTATACATATACCTGATGAAATTGTTAGGTAAAAAAATTATTGATGTAAAAGTTACTTCCAAATTATTTTTGAGTGTAGAGAACATCATCCTATTAAATTATTGATGATTATAATTAAATGTTTGCGTTGTAGGTTTGGGCCACCTAGAAATATCTGGACCATGAGATTTGAGGCTAAACACAGTTTCCTGAAAAGTTCAATTACCAAGAACTTTAAAAATGTCCCCAAATCACTTGCATTTTCCCATCAAAGGTATATATTTTTTAAAATCATTGTGCACAATTAGATTGACTTGTATTCCACCCCTCTAAAGTAGCTGTGTTTTATCACTCTAGGCTTATTGAATAATTATATATATTTTGAATAAATGTGTAGATTTGTGTATTTCAATTATACATTTTTTACAGAATTGTGTATTTATCATACTAATCATGGTGTAATTGTTTTTTATTTAGGAACATGTGCTGGAACCTTTTGAGTTCTCCCAAGCAGCCCTTGACTAATTACCTGTATAGTGGTGATGTTGTTGGATTAGGTAAATAATGCATATATAGTTATAAAAATTTGTTATTTTACATATGTATAAATATGCATATACAGCTATTATCCCAATTTAAATCTATTTTTTCATGTGTTTCCTAATGTCTGTTTAAGGCGATCACAATGTTGATTTGCACAGCCATCCATATTTTGGCATGATAGCTCAAGCTGCTAGTGTTGATCAACTGGCACAGCCATGTAAAGGAAGCAGGTAATATTTATCAGTTTAATATTGCCAAGTTGTTTTTAATGTAATTATGAATAAAAATTATATCATTTATATGACATAATAAAGGACTAACTACTACAATATTCAATCTAGTTACTATTTATCAACTGAACTATCTCTTAATATCACTGTGATTTATCAGGCAAAAACTGAATTTGGGATGAGATGAATCATACTATCTTATGTTTATCAAATGAACTATTGCATTGTAATCTAATTTTTTAGGCATGTTAGGCATGTGGAGATTCATGGCATAATTTACAAGCCAGGATGTGCTCTGCGACTGCAGGAAATGGATGAGATTGGTGAGAGAGATTATCCGGTTTATGGTGAAGTGGAAGAAATCGTTGTTTGGGAAGATAGAAAATTTTTTGTTGTTCGAGTTTTGGAGACATCTGCTTTCCACAGACATTTTATGTGCTACCAAGTTCATAAAACTAATGAAAGGCTTGTTGTAGTAATTCAAAACTTACCCTTGCATGGGGTTTTGCATATTATTAAATCTAATGGAAAATTTTATATAGTTGAAAAAGATAGTTCAAATGTAGAAGACTTTGTGATTAATTGTGAATAAAATATTGCCACTGTATGGTAACCAAAAAGGTAAAGCTGTTTCACTCAAGAAGGTGTGTTTCCTAATAGTGTGCTATAGATAGCCAGATAGGTATGTCTTTGTCAAGGTGTGACAATGAAAGGTGAGCATTCTACATGGTGTGTTCTGGAAAAGGTGTGTTTTTCACGAACGTTTGTTGAACACACCTTTTTCTCCAGAAAATGGTGTGATAACTTGTATGGTGTGTCATTGTCAAGTTGTGTCAATGCAAGGTGTGCTCTCTGCATGGTGTGTTCTGAAAAAGGTGTGATTGTTGAACACACCTTTTCTCTAGAAAATGTGTGCTCACTTCTATGGTGTGTCACTGTCAAGGTGTGTCAAGCAAGGTGTGCTCTCTGCATGGTGTGCTGAAAAAGGTGTGTTTGCTGAACACACCTTTTTTCCAGAAAAAGGTGTGTTAACATAAGGTGTGTCAGTTGACACGGGCGGGTGTGTTTCTGTACACACCAAGATGTGTTCTGTGACCCAGTAAGGTGTGTTTATCAACCCACCTATGACTCTTTTTTCAAAAAGTGTGTTTCACAACACACCTTTATGTGTTTGAAAACACACCTTGGTGTGTTTGAAAACACATCTTTTTTTAGAGTGCAAAATGACGGATAGAAGATAATTTCATTCGAAAATATCTTGAGAAGTAATAAAGATAACAAAAATCTGTAAACGAATTTTGTAAATATACATGACCTTCTTTCAAATAGTCTAAGATAATTTTTATTGCTGTATCCCTTTAAGCTTTAAGGTTTTTGACGGACAATTAACCTTTTTAATTAAGTATATTCCCTCCTATATGAAACATTTTGTGTAAACGTGCCCTTCCCTTAGAAACAACGTGGCTATCTATTTCCACTTCCCGATAAAATTTTACTCGCGTTAATAAATATCATTCCGAGTGAACATGCAAACTAGCGTCAAAATAAAGTGACCAAACGTCATAGCCAAACTGGATAAAGTGTTGTATTTGTAGTGCGTGATAATTTGGAATGTTTATCCATTCACCATTAAAATTAGGCTACCCGTTGAATCTTCAGCACAACGACACTCGAAAAAATTATAGCAGAATCAATTGTGAAAAAAAATAAAATATTTTCGATGAGCGTTTTAAAGAAAGATAATTGGCATCTTTGAAGTCAGCTCTTGAGATTAAGACGTTAGGCGCCGTCTATACGAGATAGCGGATTCGCTTGTCACGACATATCTTTTGCCTTTAAAAGGCAATAGTTAATTTAATAGCAAATGCTCATATTAGTTTGATGGATCTAATATCTTTGCCTTTAAAGGGCTTCTGAGAGCAAAATTATTTACCGCCTTTTTGATATCTTCAATAATATATATTTTAAGAAATATTTTAATTGCAAACATGTTTCGACATATAACTATAAATTTATAAGTGTTTTCATCTTCGTGGCGTCCAATGTCGCGTCCTTTGTTAATACCATAAAGAAAATGAACAGCATGACCTGAAACAATTATATATCAAATAGCAAAGTTGAATGAATCAAACCGGATTACATCAATTAAAATAGCTGCGACATGCATGCAGAGTTCTAAGAATGCTTTTATCCATGCATTCACCTTGACAGTCAGCCAATAATTATAATAAATGATATTTTTTATCTTTGTTCTTGAATTCCAATTGGCAATGTAAAATCTCGTGTTTGACGTTAGCTTTATCAGATCGCGTTTGAGTGTTCATTTGATATATCCAACAGAATTTCATGTAAGTACTTGTTTACTGCTGTATTTACTAATATTTAATGCAATACATTTTACTTAAAATTCTCATCATAGAAACTTCTGGCAATATAATATCATTGATTTTGTTATTATTTTACTAATCCACCCAAATTACATATATAACGAAACAGCTTTTTCTATCTAGTTTGATTCAAGTTACCATTAAGTCAGCAGTCATATTTGTCGCCTTTTTCTTGTTTTTGATTGTGAACGCAAAGAACAATCGAAAATACATGAAGAGGTATTAAAATCTAGTCGAATTTTTGCTGTTTGCTGAGTTTTATTTTGCTTTATTGCTAATGCATGCATATACATTTCAAATTTCAGTATGTGTTCAATAAAGCTATAGAGCACTTTGCCTACTAATTTTTGTCAGGCTTTAGCTACATCTATTTAGAATGGACACATTTCTATACCCTTACTGTTCATGAAAAGAATTTATTTTGCACTACAGCGACAGCGCTTTTACGTTATATCGCTTGCAAACTTTTGCGTCGGACCATAATATTAGTTTTTGTGAAAAAATTATGTTTACGTGTATCCATATTTATAATAAATTGTTATAATGCAATATTTGTTGAGCGTATGCTTATATGCGCATGTATATAAATATATATATATATATATATAAAGATAAAATAAAATAAACTTGGTTTACTTCATAAGATTTTATTCACTACAAACTTTATTTTATTTTATCTTATGAAGTAAACCAAGTTTATTTTATTTTATCTTTATACTAGCTCTATACTTTGGTATATCGAGCACTCTACTCATATATGATTCTAAATACATATTTGATATATATATATATATATATATATATATATATATATATATATATATATATATATATATATACCCATTTGCAAAAACGTTGGCCACAGATAGATAGATAGATAGATACTCGAAGTCTAATTAACATTGCATATCATGACAATTGCATGTGATTTCTATAATATTACACAACGTATGCAATTCTAATTAGATTTCGAGTAGCTATCTATATATCTATCTGCGGCCAACGTTTTTGCAAATGGGTGTATATATATATATATAATTATATATATATATATATATATATATATATATATATATATATATTAGCAGATTTATATAATTATCAGATTTCAGCAAACCAGCTAAAAGTTGAATTGTATTGCATGTCTATAGATCTCTTGGAATTTAGGAACAATGAGTAAAAAATAAGTGCAATCTTTGGAAGATCTGGAGAACAATGATTTGGCTGCCAGAGTAAATGCATGCATGACTTGTATTGATTCCTTAAAATTTGTTGATTGATTTGTTGTTTAAATTATTTCGATTAATGCCGATTCATTTATTCTTCTTTTTTTGTTCTCATTTGCGGCTGAAATTGGGCTAAATGCAATGGAGACGTAGAATTTTCGATCGGCCGAAATGAATGGTATAAAAGCTTATTTCTATCAAGATTGGAAAATGAAAAGATGTTTGATGATAGCTATGCCTTGTGATAAATTCTGTAGATGAACTATCATGAAACTGGACTCAAGCGTATGCTCTGAATTGAAAAAATTACTCTAAATCATTTTGAAGAAAAAAACAACTGAATTGGCAAAGACGCGGCACACACATAAGCTGCATTAACTAAATATATTCTTACACTTTGTATTGATACAGTTTTTTACAAAACAATTTTTGATGCATTTTAGCAATTTAAAACCTGAACAGAAACTGATGTTCAGAGGAAAAGGAATGTATTATTTTTTTGGCGGTGCAAATCATAATCCAAATTATTATCCATCTTATTATCCTGCAAAAGCTGGGCGCAGCGTTGGACGAAGAGGCGAGCATTTTGGTCGTCGCTGATTGACTCAATGTTTAAGCATAACACAAATAAGGTCAGTGACGTAGGATGCCAGACAATTTAGTCATGCTATATATCCTAATATTTTGCATTTGGTGTTCATTTACTTTGAAAACAATGCATTTCTAAGGAGATGAATAATGATAATAACATAAAATTTTCATAGCATGAATAAATCGTCTGGCTGGTTGCTGCTTTACATTGCCATCGGTACTATTGGCTCAAAATTATTGACAATAATGACCGCATTTGCAAATCACCTGTTTATTGCTATTTGCGAAGAATAGTTCGCTTTATACTGTTTTATCATGGCATTCAATATTTTGTAAAGAGAAAATTATAATAAAAGTTCTCTTTAATTTTCAGTTTCAAACAGCAAGATTTACATTTTAACTTATTAATTTACCTATATTTTATATAAACAATTACAACTTCATTAATTTCACGTATTTCAAGTCTGCTTTAGTAATCTGTCAATTTATTTACGTTTTATACAAACTTAACAATAAATGTCGAGTGTTATGTGCCCAAAAATAGAGTTTTATTATCTAAATATTTTGCTATGCTCGCCTGGTTTTTTAGTTTGATACTGAATAATTTTTCAAATTTGACTGCACAGAACTTTAAGCAGTGTGCATAACTTTGTACTGTTTCTCGTTTTAATTCAATTTATATCTCAGAGGAAAGCACTTATAAAGAAAATAAATGCAGACCAGTTTTAACGCATTGATTTTCTCTGCAGTGCGTGACCAGCCATAAGTTCGCGTTGTGAATTTTTGATATTATGTATGTTTATATACAAACCCGAACCATCAAATAGGTGTAAAATATTTAAACTTATTGACTGATCCCGGGAGAAACATCATGTTCTGTGGACCCAAGACCATTAATGTTGTCGAGATATATCACGTAGGCAAAACTGAGGTTCAAAGGTGCAGTCTTTTTATGAAAGGCTGTTTTCTACTTACGCGTTTTTCATACGCACGTACACGCACGTAAATTTAAAGTCTAAATCCTTATACATGTTACCTTAAAACTAACTCAAGTAACTAACTCTGCGTATTTTAGTATGCATTAGTTGACCTAGATTTTAAATAATAAAAATTTAAAAGCATTTAAAATTTTCCGTACGTGTACGTGCGTATAAAAAACGCGTAAGTGGAACGCAGCTAGCCTTACTCTCGGTGGTTAAAAGTGTTAACCCCTATCAAACTGGTTCGATCAAGCCTGAAAAACAAGATTTTGCGGTCAACATTCGCATTCCCCTCTTCTCACGTATATAATAAAATCATATATCCTCCACATGCAGTTAAATAGCCGCGATTTCTCTACGCGATCTTATAATACGCGTTAATAATGCTCTCAATTTCGGTGACGTATATTCAGCGATGTAACAAGCAATATAGAGGGTACACGATGCAATGAGCACAAACAAACTTACAATTAAAGACTTACAACATATTAAACTTATAGTTCTAGATTTTCGTTTCTTTCAACGTTTGCCGAAATCGGATCGTTTTGGGGTCATGAAGATCCGAAGATGCCTGTTTAAAAAAAAGACCAGTATACTATATATAAACTCTATATTGCACATGTAGGATTCTTCATTTTCATTTTCATTTTACATTTAGCGAAAATCTACAAAGGACTGCCCTAATGCAAAATCGAGTGCAAAAATTTAAATACTTCTCTTCCAAAATATACGAAGAAGGAATTCGTGGAAAGATCTAGAATAACCCTTTCCTTTAAGCAAGTAAAAACTGTTCATATATATGCATTGGTTCTACTTAAAATAAAGTTTATTATTTTATTTCATCCAGTAAAAAAAGTATCTGACTGTTTGCATTCGCCATTTTTGAATTCCTGGATTGTCATTCTCGATTTAAAATTGTAAAACATGGTGTAGTAATATCTATTGCAATGTTGGTGAGATTCGACCATGAGTATAGATTCTAAAGAAATAATATCTAAAGCATAACTATATGGATCCTGTTTTCGTTTCCACAAATTTTCCTAAAAAACAAACGCCATCACACTTGCTAGAATGATGGCCATGCCTGTGGCCTTTCTTATTATTTCTGCCGTTGAAGTAGCAATTTGTTGGCTATTGATCGATATGGATGAGAAAATTAATTTTCAAAATAACTGTATCCGTGCAAATTCCAAGACATTAGTGAAATTAGGTATTGTTCCAAGTTCGATTTTGATAAGGGAACTATATTTCCGCATTTGCCTGTTGCAAACACGGGCTTCGACCAATAAACCCTTTCGATAATTACGTCACAACATTATCCTTATAAATTTAGAACAATCTTAAATGAGATGGATTTCAACTTTTATTCTCACGAGTGTTAATTACATGATACCGTAATATGATTTAATTATAATTATAATAGCGTTATATACTTACTATAAGTGTATATATGATATATTCGATGAACTTTAGGAAACTTATAAATTTACATCCATGAGTGAGCAAATAGTTATATTTAGGACATGCTTCTTACATGCATGAATAACCAACTAGCTATCCACACCTTATCCCACAAACGCGTAACAAGGTCTCGACCACAAACCACGATAGCATGTGCTACAACGCACTGTATTGCGCAGCTAGGGAAAATGACTTGTGTTTTTAGTTCTTCCCTTAGCCCAAGCTTAAGCGTATAAAGTCTGAGCACAGCTAGACAATAGAGACGCACAACAATAAGGACACACTGTCGTTTTACGTTTAATTACGTTTACTTTAATTAGTTAGTTTACCCGAGCAACCAGGCGTCTTCCGCCACTTTTCCCAATAGGTGGAAACGAAGAGCACCGATCGTCTACGAAATATTGCTCAAGCTCCAACCACTCTCAAAGCTCTACGAACTCGGAAGTTCAATCCTTGGGAACCATCGCGTTTAATAGCAACAAGCACAAATTTTCTATAGAATCCATAGGAGAAACAATTTAGGTCACTATCAATTTCTTTTGATCAGGAAATTCAGTTTTACCTTTAAGCCTGGTTTACATCACTTCTTATTAATCGGAGAGCTATCGTATTATTTTTCGAAAAATAAGCGTAATTTATAGCGAAATAGTGAACTCAAACAAGGGAAAATACCTAGTTGAGTGCAAAGAAGTCATACAGGGCACTTGTTCATACTTGTCCTGAGAATCAGAGATTCTTTTCGTCTGAGTTTCTAGTGTGCAATGTGCTTTGTCAGCCGGATGATAATACAATGCATCCCTGATTATAAGAGCCAGTGTGGCCGATGTATAATGTGAAATGGTCTTCGTTTGATGACTTTTATCTTTTTAATTTGTACGTGTATGGTCGGTTTTTCACTACGCCAGAGTTTTTGATCGAACGTAGTTTTTAACCTAATTTTTAAATGGTGAAAATTCAACCGTATTTTCAATCAATGCTACATGGGTTATGATTGGGTGAAGTGATTTTAAATGAAAACTTTTTCATGTCCCAAAACAGTAGGTTTGACTAGTGCCAACTTTCAAACGAGCGCTCGTAGCTGTTTCACTAAAATAACTATACAATATAAGATAAATATAATTGCAATATAACCTAACTAAGTACACTTCTGTTTCATCCCCTATCTGGGGCTATAATTTCGCTCGGATATTTAAACATAACAAAGGTCATTCTGACGGAACAATTTTCATTCAAAAGCCATCTAAATTCTGCGTCATGCACGTTGGATTTTCCATTGGTTATGCGCACGCGCGAAATTTGGACCAGTAAAACCTGGTAATAAGCAATCTCATGATTGGTTAAGACAAAAAGTTTTCATTTTCCTCCAACATTTAAATGTAAGAACGGCATTTTTGTAAATTATTGGAGATAAAATATTTCAGTATATTTAAAATCTGAGGAATACATGGACACACTTCTCACTAAAAGGAGGCAAATATAAGCGACAAAAAATTTCGACGCTACAAATAAATCATTCTCACCGCCTTTTCCTGTGAATTCTTACCTTATGGTGAGTCTTTGGACGTTTAGTTTTTTTCCTACATGCAGCCTCAATCAAATAAGACTAACTCAAAAAAATTTTAGAAGGGTGCGAATAATGAATTCGTAAAAAAACTTAAAAAAATAAGAGTTAAAATATTTTTAAAATTTTACCCTCTCCAAAACCGTAGCCTTTTTAGCAAACGAACCATGCGAATGGCGGCACAATAAATTCTGATGCAAATCTGCGCTGTTCAACACACCACATAAAGAAAATAAATGGAAACCTACAATCATACTTATTTTTTTTCCATATGAAGAAAAACTAAGCAAATACGAGTAATAAATCAGTGGTTGATACATAGGACAAAAAACGAAGGTTTGAAGATAACTTGAAATATCAGTGGATAGAAGTGAAATTGCGAGATTAAGATTACGTACACGTTGGCAAGATCAAATCGCCACCAAATAGTTACTAGCCAGAGCAGAGATGTCACAAGTAGACCAGAAAGTAGAATTAAAAGAAGAAGATAGTTCTTTGGTAAGATTGGATGGCAGGACAGAACAAAAAATGCAAGGGAAAGAGGACGAAGGACAATGCAATGTGACTAAAAAAGGATAGCCATCACTGTTTTCAATTTTCTTAACCTGCATCTTAAAGGGACAACTTTTATTTTTGAATCTCTTTGCAAGTTTTTCTTCGAGTACTTTAGCAGTATCCTTTGTCCCATGATACCTTGTATTGTGAAGACAGCAGAATGTTTCATTTAGTTCATATCCACTTTTTGAAGTGAGACTTTTCGAAACAGCAAGTTTCAAAGTCTCATTTGTTTTCCTGTTGTACGAAGATATAAATTTCTCTAAGTTATCTTCTGGTAGAGCACAGTAAAACACAGCAATTTATTTAGGGTACCCTGAACAGCCAATGATCTTATGTTTTCTTGCTGTAGAGGCAACAAATCAAAAACACAAACCCTTAATCCTCTGTATCAGATAGTCCAGGATAACTGTTGTTCTCAATCTCTTTGGTTGCAGCTGCAAAGATTTCATTAATATCCATCTGTAAA